ATTACTAAGGCCCCTATATTAACAGCTTCAGCCCTGCAAGGCCTGGTGCGATGCGATCCGAGCCGAGCAGACGAGGCCCAGAGTAGAAGCGGACACACGAGTTGCCCTGGTTTGTATGTATATATATATATATGTTTGTTGTTTGTTTGTCTGTCTGTCTGTTCGTCTGTGTGTCTGTGTGTCTGTACATATGTACCCAAACATATACATATACATAACGGAAACATACTACACACATACACGTGCACGCACACACGTTTATATACGCATGCACATACATATACAGATCCATACGTGTGCACATATGTCCATATTTATATAGCCAGCTAGAAGTGTTCTTACATGTTGTTCTGTGAACCTTAAACCCTAAACCCTCAACCCTAACCTTTTGTCCCGAGGTCCTTTCCCCTCCTTTGCCGCAAAGTACACCTCAGCCTGGGCCTCAGCAGCGACAAGCTGCACATCAGAGGGTTTAGGGTTTAGGGTTTAGGGTTTAGGGTTGAGGGTTTAGGGTTTGGTTTTGGGGCAGAGGGTCTAGGGAGTCTGTGGATGTTGAAATCTCAGAGTCGTTTATGCGCTACGAATGCATTTGTTCATGACATCGAGGCCTCAGGAACATGCCGTAGAGATGCTGCTTCGCTATACCGTCAGCTGCTCTGAGACTTTGGGATAGAGCTCATGGAGCACTCTAAACCCTAAGCCCTAAACCCTAAACCCTAAAAGGTTTTCCAGTGTTTCACTGACATTTAGCGAAGTGACTCGGGCTTTGGGTTGCATCGGAAACCTGCGGCCTGATATTGCTTGGAGGGTTTAGGGTTATAGGTTTTTGCAAGTAGGTTTTTAGAGTTTAGGGTTTTACAACTCAGGGTTTAAGGTTTAGGGTTTTAAAAGACTCAGGGTTTAGAGTTTTGGGTATGTATTACGGCTTGAAAAACGAAGTCTCAGGGCTTCTACCCCGCAACCATCGTTAACTTTCAACCTACAACGCAAACCCCCGTGCTTCGTTTCAAGAACACATGCAAGCCTTTAGTGCGCCCAAATTAAGGGGTCTCCTTGAAGTCACATATTCGGATTTGAAGTCGTTGATTATGCCTTCTGGTGCTACGTAAGCAACAGTAACTTAGTAGACTCCTAGACCATCCTATATCGATGATACACTGCAAAGCCTTGCAAACCTTAGCTCTATATCGTAGTCTATGTCAACTTCTTATGTGTTGCCCTAAACCCTAAACCCTAAACCTTAAACCCTAAACCCTAAACCCTAAACCCTAAACCTAATCTTAAACCCTACACCCTAAACCCTAAACCCTAAACCTAATCTTAAACCCTAAACCGTGGTGGCCCGTTCTGAGGTCCGAGAGCCTTACAGCTCTGGCAAGAACGGCTCTTGCAAGGCTTCGGGCTTAGGGGGTTTAGGGGTTTAGG